CTATGAAGATGACTGGGATACCATGAGCGCAGAACTAGAATACCGGAAATCGAACTCCGCCCAGTGTCAGCCCAGTCACCATAGCCAGGAACTCACTGACCTGCCCATGATCCCCGGGTTCGGCTTCTGGCCTAGCGGGGATTTGTCGCAAGGTACGAATGACACTGCAGATAGCAGCCAGACGCTCTCTGGTAACTGACTGGAGTTTCTCAATTGGGGCTTGACAAGTTGAGAGGATCCCCTCGAAGTCAGAGAACGTTTGGTGACAGACAGTCAGAATATTGATTTCTGACATCTTGGCTCTCCGCTCTCGCTCAGTCTGGAGGATTCACAGGATGTGGGGACGGTACAAGGGGGTGATTTTGACGCTAGTGATCTGTTAGCAGATGGCAATAGGGCGCTGGATGTGGGTACCAGCCAGGAGACTCATGGCATTGCCTGAATAGGGAGTGACAGATGCAGAAAGAGCATGTTCATAATGAAAGGGTTTGAGTGACTATGGCAAGAAGCCACGAGGGGGGGGGGCAGAAAATTGGTGCTAGTAAACATCACCAGATGTAATAGCATAGCCAGGATGGTCCTGTAGAGTTCAAGTCAATAAACATGAGTCAAATGTGAGCAGATCTCCATATTGGAGGTGCTGTAGTAGATAGCGTTCAGATTCTATGAGAAGAATGTGCCCAGGATTCTGAAGACGCCGCAAACCTGGCATAGAATTCCAGACTCCAAAATGATCAGGGTAGGCTCACGGTGAAGGCGTCCCAACCAGGCCAGTTTTACCTGTACAAAATTTAGGTACCTTACCAGGTAAGTCGAGAAGTTCAGATGTGAGCGCCAGGCGCGAGATAATCTGGAGAAGAACATAACGCGTCACAACGTCTGGGGTTAAGTTACATTATCTGGATGCAGATGCCCTGGATTGTGGGGTACCAGGAGGGGGGAGATATAGATCGCGAGCTCCAGACGAGATCATGACGGGATCAGAGCGAGAGGGATCTCCACAGGCGACAAAGGGCAGTTTAGCTCTATCAGAATACTAGGCGGAAGAATCGGGGTGACTCAGGATGCCACTGGGACTCAAAGAGGAGCGTCTGGACACAGAGGCAAGATGGCGATAGTTCCAGAATGCATGGCACATAGGGGTCAGCGTCTAGATTATGTCCGGATACAGTGCAGCGCAGAAGCAGGGGTCCAGACGCCAGGGGCAGCGCTGGTGCATTCTGATTAACGGTTTGGGTCCTATGCGTCCTGTGTGTCAGACGCACAGGACATACAGGACTTGAGTTGAAATTTTTCCTAATGCTTAAGATTCTTCGAATTCTTCATCATGAGGTGGAGATTGGTGTCTGGCAGATTTACCGGAATTTGACATGAAAAATAGGTTATTAACTTATGTTAAGAATATTAACCTATATTAAGAAACCTCGATCATAGTTATTGACCATCACCCCCCAAAGCCACTACTCGCTCCCCAGAAAGTATGCCTTGCAGTACTGCTGGGATTCAGATAAGTAGTGGGAAGGGTAATGGAGGACTGTGCTCATGCAAGCCAGACGTGTGCAAGCAGAACCTAAGGGCAGAAGAGGACTGGTGGAATTCTGAGTAGTGAGTTCTGCTTTTAAGTGAGAAAATGCCAAGTTTTGCTGCGAGATTTTCGTGCCGAGGAATGTTTCATTTCTAACAGTGTTCATGAAATGTTTCAAGAAATGTTTTGATTGGGAATTTTTGTTTTGTTTCGAAATGAAAATGTTTTGCATAGGGTGAAATGTTTCGTAGGCTTTTTGTGAGTTAACACATGAGTATAAGTTGTATAGTTATAGAGGCACCGGGCTCATAACCTGTTCGAATGTGTGGGTATGGTACCATGTTAATAAATTTGTATGAAAATACAATACAGTAGAAAGAGTATACTGTGGTCACACTAAGTGAGAAGGGATTTTGGTATAAAGGTAAAATGGTAGTAGTTCTTGTCCTTAATTCTTTTAAGAAAGATGGGTGGTAACGCCTATTTATACAGGTGTGCATCCTTCAAGTAACTAAAAGAAAATATAAGGAAAAACATAAGTATTGACATGTTTGACTATAACATAAGTAGGAAAACATAAGTTTAAATATATTTGACCCTGAGGAACTACCAAGGAAATCCCATAAATTATGAGTATATCTGAAGTGGTATGAGCGGATAAACCTTAAGAAACAAACCTGAATACTACATAAGAAAGCACGCCATAATCCGCTAATCATATCATGAAATATCAAATGAAATATACATAATACATACTCCAGCTGTAGGAATGTTCACAATATAGACATAATACTAATTAGAGAAATATATGATATTATTAAGAACAATATATATATGAAACGAATTAGAAAATTCAACAAGGATATGCATTGTTGGAGTGGCAATGGCTGAGGAAGCGATGAAGGCTAGGAGAAGGGTGATAACCTCAGGCTTCTGCTGGACAAGTAGTTTGAGGAATTATGAGAGGGTACTTCAAATAGAAAATAGTGTTTCTGCCAGGTTATAGAAAGTAGAGAAGGATGAGGGGGAAGAATGTGGTAAAAACAGAAACCTTGTCTTCTTTTTCCATAGGGGAATTTTTTCTTTTTTCCCTTGACCTTACTGAGAGTGGAAAGCAGAATCCACATAGCATGGTATTGGATTATTCAATAGTTTATAGTACCATCAGATACTATTCTGAGATTAAATCTCCTATGTAATATATAAATTTTCTGGAGAATATAGAGTATATTTTACTACTTCTAATAGGTTGAAAGGGAAAGATAAAATTAGTATTACAACAGTGTACTACTATGTTCTTACATTGAAAAAAGCTTCAAGTAGGTAAAATGATTCTTGTAATTAATTCATTGAAAGGAAAAATATGAGAAAGAACTACCAGTAACTAGTATATATACTGGGTCTTAGACAATATCAGGATGTTGTTACTGCAGTATAATATTGTATATGAAGTATCCAGATATAGGTTGAATACAGAAAAATACTACATACTAGAGAAAATGATTCAGCAGACTCAGGAAGAACAATTCTTTAAGAGGTATGTGCGGTATATTCAAGATTCGTAATATAAACAATCTAATAGTAAGAACCAGCAGTATGAGAAATTAAAATATAGATTACTTGCCTGCTAGAGATTCAGACCAAGAAAAGCCATAGAAGAAAATATAAAAATTAAAGTCATAGTAGAATAGAACGTTTAATTACAAGAAACAGTTAAGGATAAATCCTATATCTTATAAGAAAATATATTAAAATTAAGATATTTAGATTAGGAATACGTAATTTATGATAAGTTTCAAATCAGCTAATAATATAGATTAGAAGAATACAGCCCACAATTTGAACTTGAAAATTAAGGTTAAATGACTACTATACAAATAGGAAATCAGAGGTGTCAGGTAGGAGTATAATAGATAGAATGAAAGAAAAGAAGAGGATATCAGCACTGAGGAGGAAGACTATGGAAATTGTTAGCATGAAAGAAGAATCTATTAAAACTACTATAAGTCTAAGAATCTTGAAGAACTATTCAAGCTAGAGGAAAAGTAATTTAAGTAATTGTAAGGGATACTAGGATAGTATTCATAGAGTAGAGAATTTGTAAGATAATAATATTATAGAGCTGATATCTTGAATAGAGTGAGAAGAAATATTGCTAACAAGCTGTAAGACTAAAAACTATACAGAACTATAGAATGAGAAAGTAACTGTTATAGTTTGAAATGGGAGACAAGCAAATTACAAGCAAGATATTATAGGTCAATAGTAAAGTAAAAGTTCTGAATGGCCTATATTTATCTACATAGATATGTAGAGATACAGTGAAATTAGACAGTTTAATAAGAGTAAATTTTCAAAATAGTAAGAGGTTTCAAGTAGCTAAAAGTAATTGGACTAGTATAAAAATACTTCATTTTATAGTCATGCTAACTCTTGCTTGTTATACACTACATCTAGTATCTGATTCAACATTGTGGTATAATACATAAGATTACAATTATGATTGAAGAATGTTACAATCAAATCTAACTCAAAGGTTGGGAGACAAAAAAAGACCAGGAACAGTAGCAATAGTACAGAATAATAAACAGAAAAAGATAGGCAAGAAGGTAAGTCATAACTAGTTTATAATTTATTTGGTATTACTATTTAGATATATATATTCAGACTATATATCTCAAGTAGGGCTAAATATTGTAGGAGTTTAAGAAATACAAGTACAAGTACTGGTAAAGGTAAAAAAAATATGTTTAGAAACTTTTTAATACAACTAGTTTCTTCTATTATACTGTATTGTCAACTACAAGTCCTATTTCTCCAGATTATTACTAGTATAATAGTTATTTTATGGAGCAAAGACAATTATTACATCTAAACTAACTTTTAGTTTACCTAGCAGATAGCTATAATAGTACTGTTTAGAAGTAGTTTTTGTAGTTTTCATATATATTATAGTGGAAAGGGGTAGCAGAGAGTGGTTTATTTGACTAACATCATACTGTGTAAGTATTTTAGGAGAATACATCAAATAGTTCAGTAAGTTATCAACAATATATGAATAAAGAATCAAGACTAATAAGAAAGTCATTAAATATTCTTGGAGGTGTTAACTGTGGCTTGATTGCTCATAGTAGTATAGCTGCCTCAGTCCTTAACCTGAGAGATTTACACCTATTACAAGATTATAGTAGAGCAGGACCAGGACAGAATCTTCATGGTAGGAAGCTATTATATGAAGATCATATAACAGAATCAGTCATTAATTGTAGTGGTCCAAAATCAATACAAAATCAAGGCACAGGAGAGCAAGTACTGAGTAACAATAGTGTGAAACAATTAACAAATAATATAGTAGCTAGGTCTGACCTTAGTCATGATACAGCACCAGTATCTTCAAGTCATAGTATAACTTATAGTGATGTAAGTAGTCCTGTTTATGAGCTGTATAGAAGTTGATATTAATCTTTATACTATAATGCTGGTATTGAAGCACTCCAAAATATACTTGAACTCAGATGCTACAGACCAGGAATCAGAAGAGGAAGATTATATTGAGAGCTTGCGCTCCGAGTGGGAAGCTAGGTATTCAAACTTAACAGAGCAACATAAATGGATTCTGGCTAGTGGTCGTCGAGTTGAGAATATTATTTATGAGGCTTCAAAGGAATTAGACATGGAAATGTTTGCTTTTACTCCAGCTGCTGGATTTATTCTAGATATTTCAGATCCTCAAGTTGAGGGCTGGTTTAGTAAAGATGAATGGCAAGAGATAATGTCAAGATTTTCTCCTCTTCCACAAATCAATCCTAGGCTATCTGAGGCATTAAACAAATTCCTTCCAGTTAAGACAACAACAATGCTTCATAATATCTTGGGACCAGGTCTGATTCCGGATAGTATTAGCAGTAACCAAACTATTTCTGCTACCTTACAATGGGTTGAGATGGTTATTCATAAATTGTATATATTTCCTCCCTATATTTTGTTTTCTATAGTATTTTTATTCAAATTATTTCTGCAATAGGCCCATAAGCTAATATAATATGAGATTATAAAATAGTATAATACTCTTTGAAGCATCTGATGAGCCACTAAAAAAACAACATCTTGATCATTGGTACAGAGACAATATTTGGTTTGATATCCTTGATAGTGGTCTTCAAGACATTCAGGGAATAACAGTACAACGAAGAGAACTTGAAGTCAAAACTCACACATCCAGATCAGACCTTTGGAAGGATATTGATGGAGTTATCTGTACCTTGGAAGACCCCATATTTGACTATGGTATAATAAACGATATGATTTTTTCTCCACTTGGCTTAACTATTAATGGTTGGCTGGGTGATCAATGCAGGCATATTCAATGCTTAAGGAATCTTATGACTCGCTTGGTTGGAGTCCTGAATGGTCATAAAAGAATAAAAAGACTAGTAAAGCTTGTTGGAATATTTACTGCAGGAGAGAGTCTACAATATAGTATCTTAGAATATCCAGGTACTACATATGTTTGCTTACTCCAGAGAGGGGCAGTAGTTCAATTACCTAATCAGGTAGGGCAGCTTCCTCAACTGCTTAGAGTACTTGAAATAGTGATACAGTTGAAGGAGGTGATTAGAGTAACAAATGAGGCTGTACAGACAATGTATTTAGGTTTTGAATAAAGTAAACATACTTGTTAAAATTATGCATTTAGTAGAAGTATTGGTAAAGTATAAGAATGATAGACTAAATAGTTGGAGCTCAGTCATTTGTTAGACTAGACTAACTATAGTAGATTGTACTATATTAGTAATAAAATGCTTGTATCTGATACTTAGGCACTGTATTCAAATTTGTTTTATCTTTTACTCACATCTCTGATATCCTGTATACCCAGTGTCTCTTTATAATACTAAGCCATATTCCCAGTTTGCTCTTATAATGCTAAGTCATATACTCTATGTCAAAAATACCATTGTAACATCCAGTGTCTATTTCCTATATTAGTGTCACTCTTGCAATGCCTAGCTACCACCTGCATGTTTAGAATACTGTTATTAGAAGGTAGGTAACTCTAAAGACAAGAGAGTATATACTAGATGTAATAATCTTTTATTTCAGAGATAGTTAAGAAGGCTCATTGAGATAGAAGTAAAGTTGAACAAAGATATTGATAAAATCTCTCCTCCAGTCACTAATGATGTTTTAAAGCAAGAGATTTTCTTTTTTGTTTAAGTGTATCTCATTGATTATTTATTTAGGGTAAAAAAAATATATAGAGTACTAGCTATGATAACAAAAAGCTCATATTCCTTTTCTCACTATGGGAAAAAGCCAAACTCCTAAGCCCTTCTGGTATGGAGCCCACCATACATCTTGCCTCAAAGAAAAGAAACTGAAGCCTGGCTAAGGAGACGAAGATAGAAATTGTAACTAGGAAGAAACCAGGAAGGGTCAGGAAAATGCACTGAGAAATCTCAAAAAAAACAAAAGTGAGATTAAAAGCTAGCAATGTAGGGGCCCAGAGGAGCAGGTCTGCACTAGTAGGTAATTCAAGCAGAAAGCAATGCAGTGAAACATGCTGAGGTAGGAGACTCTCCCCAGATCTACTCTAAGGAGATAGTGCAATACCATGAAGAGAAGGAGGAGATCATAGTAGCTATGGGCAGTAACAGCAGGGAGAGGAAGGGGGGCAGTAGGGTGGCAGCCAATCTGACTGTAGGGAAGAGGAAGTGGAGGGGTAGATCAAAAGACTATATATACTGTCTATTGATAATCACATTCATATTTGACTAGGCGGCCTCTTAGAGAAGTAAGAGAATAATAGATTGATCATAGCTGGTTGGATGTTCTTCCCTACCACACACTGTAGTTCCAGCCATCTGACGAGGGTAGTTAAGGGGTTGCTGATAGTATGTAGGCTAAGTAAGGCCAATGCAAGAATGAGAAAGATCTCCCCACAAAGAACTGGAGAGAAGAGGATGATAGAGGAGTACCAGCAGTCACTTAAGCAAAGCAGGTATTTTTCTGGGTCTCTTATGTAGTCCCTTGTTCTGTAAGAGATAGTGTCACTGTAGTAGAAGAGATTCCACCATGTACTAGCAGAAGAGAACCTCGGAAGGACTAAAACATAAGAAAAAAAGGGCCCTGTGATAGTAGACTGAAGTCAATACCCAGGGCGTGAGAGGAGAGAGAAGTCAGGCTCTTCTAGGCTGAAGCCAGAGGCAGGAGGAGGTGGAAGAGTGGTGATAATTTGGTGATAAAACTCATAGTATTGAGTTTTCAATCACTGGAGGGGTAGCAGAGACAGAGGATGGTTTTGAAGCTAGAGATATATTTTTTTCTTTGTGTTTAACTCATATATTCTTTGCTACAGTACAAGAACCTGCATGGAGTACTAGCTATGGTAAAAACAAAATCTCAATATCAAAAACAATTAACTGTAATTAAATACGGCAGTTAAACATCTCAGTTCATAAGTAATTCAACCAACGGCACCCAACACTGTGACAGATTGCAAAGGGAAAGACTAGTTCCTACCAGCATGAAAGAAATACCAAGCATGAAAAGTAAAAGGTAGGAATGCTGACAGAAAGAAACACAACTTCAATCTAAGACAGGATTGTTACCAGACAGTGCCCTTGCCCCACCCATTGAGAGAGGAAAATTGGTTCTGATATCGAAAAGGTGGTGTACCAAGTTCTATAAGAGGTTTTTGCTGGCCCGGAGGGGAGTTTTTGTAACGACCCTACGTTATAGAGCTATGGCAACCTAAGTCTACGCTCATACATAAGGCCAAGAGGTTATATCGTAGACTAGGCGGGCATGCCTGAGCATGTCCGGGAGATACCCGATGGTCCGGGTATCCCAAAGAACAGAAGGTACTTAAGAAATAGGTGTACCTAAGTAGCGGAAGTGACGTGACCATATCGGTTTCGGCCTAAGGATAGGTCGGAAGGCCAGGTGAGTTTACCCTGTCTAGATAAGTCACGTTACCCTGCCATGGAGACCAGTTTCGTGTCACCATGGACATACTTACCCTACCTTTGGGACAGTATTACCCTACCTTCCATCGGAAACGTTCTCGGAAAGATTCCATGTAATGTTAGGATTGTTTGTTACGCAATGACGATCGATGGGCACTTGCTTGCACATTGATCGGAAGAGTACGGGAAGAGCTAGAGTGCTCCAAACATGCTGTAACTAGGCAGGATTATTCGTAACAGGTACCTGCGGCCCCAGGGTTCGCCCCGGGTGTCATGGGCCAAAATGGTTGAAGTTGCCGTCTTACTAGTTAAATGGAATCATTGAAGACATGTCCATAACACTGTATACATCGCTGCCGTCCGTCCGACCGGAGGCTGTTCGCAGGATATATAAGGGAGCCATGGTGAGAAGGTTAGGTACCTTCTCCAAAAGGAACGGAGTAAAACGGACCAAAACTGACGGAGTTAGCGTGAGCTATCCGGAAGGGTCCCCAGAGTAGTCCCGGGTAGTGCCGGAGACGTCGGGGAAGGTTTTACGCCAATCAAGCCTACACGTGTTCCTTTGCCGTAGGCTCTTTATGGGTTGTTGCAAGACTCTAAGAGTATGATACTTATCATGCTGAGTGGTGTGCCGGAGGTAAGGGACCATGGGTAGCGCCCACGGGTCCCGCCACGGACATAGCTCTGCGTGGGAGGGTCGCAGACCCTGTAAGTTCGCAATCAAGAAAGATAGAACTTAACCGGAGAACACCAGATGTCTACGGGTGCTTGCATAGATCATAGCACATGGGAAGAGAGTCATTTAATTAGCTTTCCTAGGAGTCTCGACAGTTAGCCACTGACGAGACACCGATGCGCAGAGGTTTTCACTCCGGCAGGTGTATTGGTAAACACCTCGCAGGAACTGATGTGCATATGGGAGAATTCTGCTAGAGTGTGCCGACACCTTAAGCCCTTCGGGGATGCGGTAATGGTGCCGGCAACCCTTACGGAGAAGGGCATGCTCATGTTGGTCAGAGCGACCTGATGGGGGGGGTTTTTGGTATAAGTCTGACTACTTGAAGCTTATGCGAGAACTCTCCTGCCCCGACACAATCAACATCCTCTCGAGAGACTTTTAATTGAGATAAGCCAGAGCTTAACGATATTAAGTTTTACCGTTTACTTTTATTCTTTACACTTTACAAGAGTTGTGTTTGAGAGATTCAAAGTTTGGTGCGGTCGCATCCTTAGGAACCATCTACCTGAGGGAGCCCCCGTTACAGTATATCGTTAAGCGAGCTTCTGACTTAACTCTCCTCCTGATCTTTTGGTTGGAACCGACGTTGACAAGACCACGATGGCTACTCAAGCTTTGCCACCCACGGTCGAAGAAGGAACCTCGAGTTCAGACAGCAGCTTGGGTCTCAACGAGAATCCCTTGCAAGCTGCCATCTTCAGAACCTCTATTATTGCAGACACGCGCGGCCTAGGAGAATCATCACAATTATTGATCGATGCAGCTCCTATCGTACTCCCTAACGAATGTCAAGACTTGGTCCTCCCGGACCCTAGCATCGCCCCCCTGTCGTTCCTAAGCGATGTTCCTTTTGCACCAGGTGTACAGAAGGATAACCCCGAAGCTGAAGAATTGACTGTTGCGGAATTTACGCGTGACTTCGTCGAGCCCTACATCCTACGAGAAGTGATGTAGGAGATCACACGGGCAAAGGGGGAATTGCACAATTGGAATAAGAAGACACAAAAGGTCTTCCAGAAACATATCATAGATTCATCCGTGGGATGGATGAAAAGACAACAGGAGGCATTCTTGGTATTGTTAGGAAACCAAGAGACAATGAGGGTGCGGATGGAAGCATTGGAAAAGGCTGCGAAGGATGGATATCAGATAGACGAGGACAACGATGTCCTGATAATTGAGGCGGTTCCTGCGGTGCTCCTATTAAAGGAGAAACCTGCAGATTACGCAGGGGAACTGACTCTCTTTGCGAGAAACGAGAAATATAGGCCTCAGCTGAGCCCATTAGGTCTGAGAATCGTGGAAAGCTTAAAGGATCAAGGATCCGAAGCAGCTCATTCCTTTGCTCACCCCTCTTCTCGTTCGCTTTCTGCCTCGGTGGCCCACAGTTACTCGGTCAGTCCTATAAGGACTACAAAACCACAGAGTTCACGACGAGTGTCACCCCAACCGTCGAGACCTATACGAGAACCCTCTCCTTCGATTTCGGTGAGGCCGGTGCCATCACCTGCCACTTAGTCACTCCGTCCTCCTCCATCCTTCGTTTTTGAGCACAAACCGGCTCACCTCCCTGCCCAGTCTTTTGA